GTTTATTGTGAAATTTGTCTTAAATTTGATTTCACTTGGCATTAAAAAGTCTTAAATTTAACTTTCCTTAAACTGTAGGAACACTGGAAAAAACCCTCCCCGTCAAACTTTGGATGTCTCTGTGTTTTTAAAGTTGAAGCATATGGCAGCGATGCAGCTCTCTGAGCAGCAGCTGCAGCTCACCGTGGATCTTTGAAGCATCTTGTTACATTCACTGAGCAGCCTCCAGGTGCTTCTGTGTCCTCAGAGTGCAAACACAAGCAGCTCGGTTACATTAAACAGCGCACCTTCTATAAATAGATGCTCGATTCCTATTATTTTTACCTATACCTACACCTGCAAAAACCTTTTGAGTTATGTGCTGAACAGATCAATTTCCTGCCGTCAAAAATAGCTGAGACAAGTGTTTGCTGTTTTTCTTCCAAATGTGCTGATTCAGAAAGAACTCCGGTTTTGCTGTTAAACTTCAGGATCCTTTATGTCGACTCCAACCAGCCTGTTCCTGTCTGCCACAGATCCAGTGAAACCATACAGTTGCAATTTGGGCTCAGACTGTCACACTTTTTAGCAGCTCTGTGCAGTGACAGCGAATGTGAAGGAACAATCTCAAAATGACCCAGATGTGACATAAAAATAGTTTTAAGAGAAAACACAAAATCACAGTTCAGTTTAATTAATATTTTAGTTGTTTTTGCTCTTTCTTTTTAGTTTGCATGGTTTGATTCTTTTACATGTTTGTGCCGAGGGACACAATTTACCACTGTTACATTTTATGATGAGAAATGTCGAAATGTTGCATCATCATGACCTGATGTCCTGGTTCACCACATGATGATGGAGAACATCTTCTTTACTGTTAGCCTGTTTTAGTGTATTCAGTTTATTTTCCTGTGTTTGTGTGCTTAAAGGTCAGCTGGCGAAGGAGCTGAAGCAGCAGGACTGCCTTCAGTATGCTGCCTTCTGTAACCTGGCCATGGCTCGGTGAGTGATGACCGTCACTTTACTAACATTTAGAAACAACACAGTGGAATTACGTCATTTCTAGTGCATAAAAAAGGACAAAGAAAGTATGTTTTATTGATTGTTCCTAGATTTATATCTTCTGCTAAATAAACCGTACATATAGAGTCTCATTTTTTGGTAATGCGTTGGTTTTTAGGGCATAATGTGATAATGGGAACATATAAATTGGTTTGCTACATTATTGTTTCAAAAAAGTGCTGTATGTAAAGTCCACACAGTATAACTAAAAATTTAGCATTTAAATCTGGACTTGAATAACGTCATAAACTATATTTTAACATTTTAGCTGTTTATACTGATAAATTGTGATCCTAGAAAAGCAAAAATAAAATTTAGTTTTTCTCCCCTCGAAGCATTAGTTCTGTCATTACATCGGCTAAACTTGGCATAAAAACCTAAAGTGTATTTTAGCGCAGCCTAAATATAGATGGCATATTCTGCTGAAATCAAGAAAAAAATGGCAGCAAAGGCTGTTTTTCTGTTGCCTTGAAATGCAGTAAAAAAAAAACTGCAAACTTTCACATACTTCTCCTTTCTTAGTAGAAGATTATTATGACTTCTGTTGTGATAAATAGTACTCAAATTCAGTGGTTCGGCTTTATAGTAGCAAAATGTAAATTTTCCTAAAACTAAGCAATTAAATTAGTTTACTCATTTCATGTTTTAGGCTTATTACTGTTCAGACTTTAATTCTGAAAATGCTGTAAAATTGAGGCTAAATCTTTATTTTGTCATTACATTGCACTCTGCCTGCAGGTGTGAGCAGACTCTCTTCAACGCTCCCGGGGAAGCGTTAGCGCTAACCGACGCCGCGCGCCTCTTTCTCTCATCTGAGAAGGAGATCAGAGCCCTGCAGGCGCCGGGCTTCGACGAGCACCTACAAGCTGCGCTCAACTGCTACAGTTTTGCCATCAAGGTAACGCGGTGAATCCCAGTGCAAGCCCTAACACTTTGAAAACAACCACCGCTCCATGTGAAATATGCGAACGGACGAGCCTGGCAGATTAGCTCCTGCTCTACATTCCTGTGCTGTGACTGAACACTGATGTGAAAATGAATTACAGGTGTACATCGAGATGAACCAGCCTGTTATGGCAGCCAGCCTGTGTTTGGAACTTGGCAACGCACTCAAGGTTGGATCGTAACGTCATTCTGTCCCAAATGATTAATGATGCAGATTTTTTTTTAAAGCTTGATTTCTCCTTTAAAGTTTTTTAAGCCAAATGTTGCATCAGTTTTAACTCTTGACCTTACTAGGAGATGAACAGGCCAGGGGAAGCGATTGTTCACTATCAGAGGGCTGCAGAACTACAGACTCAGATGCCTATTGAAGCTCTGCTGTCAATGGGAGAGATGGCCACCTGTAAAATCCTGACCCGTGAGTTCAGTCAGACTTTAACAATGAGACGATGGCGTTGCTGCAGCTTTACAGAGCAGCTCGGGTTTGACTTGTTTACACCTCTGATGTGGTTACAGGTGACTACGACGGCGCTTTGTCAGTGTTCACAGAGATGCAGCTGATGTGTCAGGAGAGAGGACTGCAGCTCCCAGGCACCACCACTCCTGTCGGTGAGGCTCTCACCCATGTAAACATGTTGATCATATTTTCAGTGTTTCAACTTTATGAATGTCAGATGTTTGCAATTAGTGAGTCACAACAAACAAAGCTGGATCTGTAGTGAGCGTTTAACATTTTTAGTGTGCCTGTATTTTGGCGTAGCTGTGGTGTTTTACGCTGACAGCAGTTTGAGATTTTGGCGTTTCCACTTCATTAAATCCTTCACAAAATAATCCGCAGCATCCTTAGTAATAAAAGGTAGCAGTGACACAACAATAATGTTCAACAATCTCATGCTACGCTATGCTAACACTGTCTGCACTGCAACTTATGCTTCGTTGTTTATGTTTTCCTGCAAGAAAAAATAGATTTTAAAACATGCCATTGTACATGTCAAAATAAAAAAAAAACAATGTGACAATAGATTTGTATTTTACTGTTTAGCTTTGTGCGTTACTATTATTGAACTGTTTTTAATCTTATTTAAACTGTTCTTACCCCCTAATTTACATTAAATGTGGTTCCGCTCCGGTGCGAAACACAGAGGAGGTCAGAGAAGCGTGTGCAAGAAATGTGAGACGGCCTAATAAATCCAGTGATAAATGTGGAAGTCAGAGCAAAGTAATTACTTCTGTAGAAGACGGACTCCAAACACAGTTGAAACTGCATCGCTGTTTTTTTTTTTTTTTTTGAAACGTCTGATTTCAAAATAAAATCCACATGTGATGGTGTGTGTATGCATATGCTGCCATCTGTTTCTCAAATGGAACAATACATTTTGACAGCATTTGTGTATAAATATATTCATATATTTATTAATATAGCTAGGATGTTAACAGAATTAATCTGCTTTGGTGAATTATTTTGAAAATACAGATGTTGTGCTTGTTACTTTTCCTGTTAGTGCGACTTGATCTTTGTAGATTGACTCCGGAGCAGATTCAGCATCCGGCAAAAATAAGATTGAACCTAATTTTGATGGATTGCCATCCGCTTAGCGCCACCGTGTGGAGCCAGTGTAAATACTCTCGTTGATTGTAATGGTTGTGTATTTGCTGCGGAGGTCGGACCTCAGTGGAGCGAAACCACATCTAGTGTAAATTTGGGGTGAGTGTCTCATGTGTCATTTCTTTCATGTCAAAAGGAGCCTTTTTGGACATTGTGGCTAAATGTGAGATATCCAGAGTCTTACTGCTGATGCTGCTTGAGGTAAGCTTGTTAAATTAAAACTGAGGGATAAGCTTGTTCTCTCAAAATGTTCTGTGTCAAAACAAACTTCCCACAAGGTTTTGGGGGTCCTGTATTTGTGTGAATTGTTATTCTTTTCACCACTGATTATTTTTATAAAATATTAACCACTCAGCACAACTTTAATGCAGGCTGTACAGTGCAGGGCATTAAAACAACACAGCATTAACAATCCAGCCTGAATGTTTATTTTTTAATCTTTGTGTCTTTTTCAGCCGCCACCTCAGAAGTTGTTACCTGAACACGCTCAGACCCTGGAGAAATACGCCTGGGAGTCCTTTGACCCTCACAGCCAAGGTAGGTGCTCTTTAATATTTAACTATTTTTAGAGGAAGCCAAAAACAAATAAAATAACATGAAATGTTTTCAGTTTCCATGTCTCACGAGGTGTAAATATGAATGTTGAATCTTTCAGTGACCTTCTTGCCTGAAAATGTTTTCCTGCTCCTGCAGTCTGTGGTGGTGAGTTTCATGACACACATACATGTTCAGCTCACACCTTCTTGTCTCATAAACACACAAACTGTTTCTGTCTTATCTTTTAGCAACGGTTTTCTTTTTTCTGAACTGTGTTTAAAGTTTGTCAAAAGCAGCTGTAAGTTGTCCCAGCTTAGATTTGCCATGAAAGACTGTGGTGGATGTGATTTCTTTGAAATGTCCATTTAATTGTATTTGTAATGGGCTTTGTTTGTTGTAAACATGCAGGCATGTTATGAGTAAACCAACTCAGTATGAGCTCATGTGAGGTTGTAGTTGTGTTTTTAATCAGCGGCTGATTTGTTCTGCAGATGGCGTGTCAGGAGAAGGACACAGAATCCCTCAAGTCTCTTCAGACTGAGCTGTGGTGAGCGATCAGAAATCTTCTATTCCACCACGTGATACAGCTATAATAACTTTATTTATTATTATTTTTTACCAGTGTTTTATATTGACCATGCTTTTAATCATGTTTTGTTTTTCTTTCTCTTCAGGCCGTTTCTGTCAGCAGAGCAGAATCATCTCCTCCACCTGGTGGTTCTGGAGCGAATCGCACCGTCTGGTCAGGGCATTTAGTCCAGTCCAGTTTTCCCTCACTTCCTCTGGGAACAATACTTCAAGTAATGGAATATTCCTGTTTCTGACTGGGTCTGTTGTAAGGCCTGAAAGAGAGCTTGTTTTACAGATTTAGAGGTTGTAACATGCAGTCAGAGCAACGCACTGAATACCAAACTGTCTTTGTGCCAGGGTTATTTGAAGAAAAACATCTAAATTCAGCTGCATTTTAATATTAAAATTCTGAAAAAACCAGGACATAATGTAAACAAAAACAATAAGAAATGAGTTTCAAATCTCATAAACCCATATTTTATTCACAATGAAACGTAGTAAACAAATATAAACAAATATAAACACAATGGGGATTTATTTATTTTTATTTTGAGTTATTATTTTTGAAATGCTCCATATAAAATGCTTCAAAATGAAATAGTTTATTAAAATGTTACCATTTATCACTTGGTCTGGCCCCAAGCTAGTTTTGTTTACAAGAGCTTCGGTTTAAAAAAAAAGCTTGATTTTTATTGGTCCAGAATGATGTCGTCATAAATTCCAGCCCTATATTTAAAAAGGGGAATGCCCGAGCTTCACAATGACGCCAGACATTATTTAAAGGGATTTCAGTGAGCTACAGCAGTCCAGAGGAAAAGAAAGAAGTGGTTGGCACTGAGTTGTGTTTACAGCAGTGATTTGTGGAAATGTTCCCGAGTCCATTCACTGATGTCCAGAACAGAATCAGACCTGTTCAATGCTCTACTGCCTGAGGGCCCAAATGTCACAAACATCAATATTTACTTTGTTTTGTTCTTTGAGCTCAGAGATTTCTCCAGATTCTTAAAGGTTTTATTTTATAAACTCTATTTAAGGAATATTCAGTCTTCCATATTTTTGGAAATGGGTTTATGAGGTTTGCAAATCATTATTTACACTTTATAGATCCCAACATTCAGAAATGGGGCTTATAGTTATCGTGAAGTAGAGATATTTTTAATTTTTAAGTGAAGTTATAAAACTAGACTATCAGATTTTTATTGTGTGATGGTTTTTGCTGTATTCAGTTATTTAACAAATGAAACACAAAGTCTGGATTTTTATTAACTTTATTAATACACGTCATGGCTTGAAACTTCAAAGTTTATTTATTGTGAACAAACTTTCTGATGCAAAAGTTCTGTGTTACGATGAAATGAAACACCTCCGTCCCTGGATCATTTAATGTTAATTTGCACATTTGTTGTATTAGCAGCCATCTACAGACACAAATATATTGGTTTAAAAAAATACACTCAGTACAAAATGCTACAAAAATATCATGTGGTTACATTGTACATAAGACTCAAAAGATATATACTAATTGTAAAAATAAATGACTAAAACTAAACATCCCATGACTTGTTTCCTGATTCTTCCAATTTGCTGTATCAGAGTTGCAGCTGTCTTTGCAACGTGCTGCACCTTCATCGGACTCAGCATCACTAAATGATGACAAATTTCAGGATATTTTTATTACAATATCTCACAGGAGCAGTAATCAAAAGTAGGAAATAACCTTGTTAGTGTTAAGAAAATACAATTTAAACATATTTGGCAGTTTATTCATGCGGACTGACATCCTCTAAATGTGACTTCCTGCTAAACAAAGTCTGCAAAGAGTTGAGCTGACTCAAACTCATCTGTGTTTTTGTTCAGGTCACTGTCTGTTAGCAAAATATCTCTAACGTTGCTCAGTGACTTTTTCGGAATCAATTAACATTTGAAGTCAACATGTTATAAGATGGTCACTATAGCCCACTCTTATGAAAAACAATAACAAAAGGCAATAATTCAGTCAGTTTTACAGATTCTAAAACACAGTTAAAATTTAGTGCGGTAGTAGATGAGTCATTCACAGCACACACTCCCAAGTGCTACTTACATGAGATCTTTGTTGTAAACTTTGGCATTAACATTCGGAGTCTGTTAGCAAAATATCTCCCGAACCACTTGACAGACTGAATTGAAATTTTCTGAACGTACAACTGATTAGCTTTTGGAGTCGATCACATTTGAGGTGTTTGCCACAGCTAATCAGCGTTAAAGGCCCTGTCACACTAGACAACTTATGCCAAATTATGAACATTTTAAAGACGTCTAATTAAAGATAGAATTGAAAAAAATCAACAGGAAGCATATTTTTGGCGTGTATATAATGTGATTCAAACAAAATGGGCAAATTAACTTTTATTAGCAATATAGACATAAAAATGTTTCAGCAGTTGGCATAAGTTGTCTAGTGTGACCAACAGAAAAGGCTATAAATCAACAAAAGGTACTGATACTGCATTAAAGCCTTGTGTGTGACTTTCTTTGTATAGCTGTGATCTGCCTGGATGCTAAATGTAAGAACACAAAGGGGATAAATGGTTTGTTAGTGGAGTCGAGATTAAAATGGAAGGAAGCATTTCGAGGGGCTGTGCCTTCCTTCTAATAGCCCCTCTCTACACACACACACAGTCTCACACATGGACTCAATTCAAATATAAAAACCTTGGCTCTTTGTTAGCACACGTCTATGCTCTTATGTTCCAAACAGCAAATAAAGAGTTTTACGATGTTTAAGTTAAAACCAAACTCTTCTAGCTTCCCAACAAGAGAGAGAGAGAGATGCAATGCTGCCTTTACTCTTCTGCTCTTTTCACTCGGACTTCTTCCGCAGGACGAGGTAGGTGATTGTTAAGAAGAAAGTGACGACAAAAGAGATCCATGCCAGGATGTAGGAGTGCCCGTACCTTCCTTCTGTTTCATTGGTGTGAAACTGAGCTGTGTAGATGGAGGCTGCGGTCATGATGCACAGGCCTGCAGGAGGAAGGGAAGACATTTAGTCAGAGTTTATCTAAGACGGACATAAACAGGACATGATTCTGTATGGTTCTGTTCTGCTGCAGATACAAACAGGAGAAACACGAAGGCCCAACAATTATGGCAAAACTCAGCAAGGCCATGATGCTCTTCAAGTTAAGATGCTGATAGTTTTACCCTCTAATCTAGGGGTCTGCAACCTGCGGCTCTGGGGCCACATGTGGCTCCTTGAAAATGTGACCAAATAGAACAGAATAATTGTTTTGTTTTGTTTTTTTATACCCACAACAGAAATCAATTTGTATACAAATATGCGATCAATACTACTAATACAAAAAGTAAAATGTTAGCTCATGTTAGCCTGTTGTTTACTTAAATAATCTAACTTCATCTTTCTCTCAAATCCATCAGAATCACCTTTAAATAATTTGAAGACTGCATAATAAGAATTGAAAAGAAAACGCCTGAATAATTCAGTTGTACTAGTTTTTATGAAATTTGGTATAAACTATATGTAGTATTTTTC